AAAAAATTTACAAAACTAAACAGCCTACAGTATTTTTACAGTCTTTATTTTACAGTTAAAATAAATGTTTATCAAATTGAAGATGATTACTGTATCTGTGGCAGTCAACATAAACTGGGTTGACTTCAAAAGCAATGTGTTGTAGAAATACAGTACTTTCTTAAAATTGGTTTAGTGGTTTACAAAATATTTAGCAAAAGAAACTGTGCTTATTCTTAACAGTAAATTCCCAAGATTTTTGCATAGACAAACTGAATGTGTAGTGCTTTAGGAACACGTTGTCAATAACTTTCAGATATTACCAWTCCATATAGCTCAACATCTGTTAAATGGACTGAGTTGTATGGGGTTAGGTTAGGCCTTCGCTCTGGGGCTGCTTTGTGAGAATGGGATTGGGAATCCATGGCTATGGGCCAGTCAGTCCCTATAAAAATGGTGCAAGAGTCTGGTTTGCATTTCCAGTAAGTTGGCCCATTTTAGGGTGAGAGTCAGACTCACCAGAGCTGCCCATTGTTACCAGTTCTTTTTCTAACATTTATGGACAGAATATCTTGGTGCAGCCAAAGGGCAGAAAGGATCTGGTCCAGTGACCTCAGGATTCGGTCATTGCTATTTGRGGATAATGCGGCCCAATTATCGTCATTGTGTTGTGATGTCCAGCTCTCACAGGAGCAGTTTGTGGCTGAGTGTGAAGCAGCTGGGATGAAAATCAACACCACCGAATCTGAAGTCATGGTCCTCAGTCAAAAAAAGGTGGACTACCTTCACCAGGCTCGGATTAAAGACCTGCCTCAAGTGCAGGAGTTTAAGTATCTTGGGGTAGAGGGAAGAGTGGGACATGAGATAAACAGATGGATCAGAGCAGCTTKTGTTGCAATGCACATTATCCACCTGTTGGGGTGCAAAGCACATCTCTCTGTTTACCCATTAGTCTACATTCCTACCCTTACCTGGGTAGTGATCAACAGAATACACTCATCATTCATACAGGAAGTGATGAAGTTATGAACCGACAGTCAGAATTCCTGAAGAAGGATTTCATTCAGTTGTTGAATGCAGTTAAAAATCTCAACATGGATGTATTGATCAATGGGCCTGTTACAGCCAGAGAAGGGGCTGAGAGGTTCAGTYGGCTGTTTGCCCTTAATGGRTTTTTGGAAAAGTCCTGTGCTGACCATTCTGTGAGATTTGTGGATAACTTTGATCTCTTTTGMGAACGAAAACATCTGTTCAAGTCTGATGGAATGACTCTGAATCAAACTGGAGCACAACTTCTGGCTTCCAACATGAAGTATTATCTGAACCGAGTTTGAGCTGGAAACAAACAGGAGAAATCACAACAGCTGACGTCTGAAGGACAGCATCAGAAAACTGAGATATCGATGGAAAACAAGGTGCAAGTTACTGATAAGGAGACTGCTGCAGAATCAGAAACACAGAGAGAGGAGTTACTTCAAGCTGCTGAACTGGGAAAACATCTGGTTTRATCAACATTGCAACCAYAGAAACCCAAACCATCAACTAAGAAAGAGAAGGTACACACTACACCCAGTAAAATGAAGTACTGGTGTGGATACGACATTGAGGACCCTGTGGAACAAGCAGAGTATCGTTTGGAGTTACGCACAAAGCTAGAGCATTGTTCGGCATGGTARAAAGGAAATGGGACAGAAAAGCAGTTTCAAGGGTGGAAAGAGAGAATTAGGAGCAAATACCCTGATGATGAATATTTTTATGTCTGCGAGGAATAAAAATTGAATTACTGGGGTTGGGATTTTAGACAAATACATATACCGTATTTTTCGGACTATAAGCCGCYACTTTTTTCCTGAACTTTGAACCATGTGGCTTATAGACCGGTGCGGCTTATACGTGGATTTTTTTCTTCAGCCACCAGGCTCTTATGCTCCATTTGCTTCAACCACTCGCTTCAAAAAAAGAAAGGAAAAAAAAAAGAAAAAAGCGATCGCTTCCAGAGCCGACTGTTGACCAGGAAGCAGCGATTTGAAGACGGTCAATGGCCAAAAACTCATAAAAGGGGATAAAACAGACATTTTTCACGGTGGAATCTGACTGATAAAAACTTTGGAGCTTAATCCAGGACCAGTTTGTGGATAAAAGTCGAGTGAAGAGCTGCTGACTTTTTTTTCCTCATTGCACTCCCCGGGGAAGGAATCCCATGCAGTGACGTATGCTGGAGCGGGWGGGCTTTCCCAGCACAGCTTAGAGCCAGTGTTACCCCGGGAGGACAGCGACACAGAAAGCAACACTGAACAGATACCACTGTGTGACGCAGCTTTTCTCAGCTTGTTTAACTCCGACACTGAAGAGGACTTCAATGATTTCAGTGCGCCAGAGGAAGATGAATGAGACGTTTTGTTGGACCAGAAACTGTTAAAGAAAACTACCAAAATAAGGTCAGTTAAATGAACCGTATTCCTCCGAACTTTAATTCCTAAAGGTTTGCTTTTTATGTTTTGATGTTGAATTCACTTTTTTGACGGCAAATTTGGGTGTACTGTTTTTTTTATGTTGGGGGTGCGGCTTATATGCTAATGTTCGCGGGTTTTTTTTTTTAAAATGGCAGATGCGGCTTATAGTCCGGTGCATCTTATTGTCCGAAAAATACGGTACTTAGGTTTGTGTTGACATTTTTTTAAATATATGGAAGAGTTGCTTTTTTATTGATCATTTAATTGATCATTTAATGATCAGATAGGGGAGTGTAGTCGAACTAATACTTTTAGGTTTAAGCCAGTAATTCATGACATACTTTAATAACCTAGATTTTCATGACATGCTGTTTATCAGCAGATAGAATGATTACAGTCAGAACAAGATTTGCTAACAACAACAGTCATTCTTAGATATCGCTTGTGTTTATCTTTGTGTTTTCCCTTGACCCAGCATTTCCTTAGGATGAAATCTTGCTAAGATGACATAATGGTGTTTGTTAAACAGTATATATGAGGCCTCAACTGTCTTAGTGGAGAAACAGGAGCAGAGAGCAGTTCAATGGCTCTATGTTGTTCTCTGTGTTCCTGTTGTTGCAATAAAACTTCTTCATTCTTAGACCACGTTTTTTGTCTTTGTTGAATAAATATTTCCATAACAGTACTACTAGGACTATACATGAGCTGATGAGCCTCAGTTACTAACACAGCAAATGTAGTTGGTCCAGTATCTGAAGAACTGACAAAGGTCTTGTTCACTGGATTTATATAGTGTAAGTGTAGACTGAGGTCTAAGTCAATTTTACAGATATAGTGTTTTAAAGATAATCTGTCTTATGTGTTTTCCAGCTATTTGTGTTGTGTAAGGTCGCGCTGGTGGTGGGCATTATTGATGCTGAAGCACTCAGAGTAAAACCACAGGTTTCTGTTAACATTTAATAAAAAGGTCAAATGTGAGCAGCTTCCAGCATCTCCTGCAGACTTGGGCTTCTGTTGAGAGTTTCACACAAAAAAAGCAGTTATGTGACCTTAACACTAAACAAGCTCTCTTCAAACTTGAACAATAAAGCACAAATCCTGAGGCAGAATATAGTTTTTAGGACTCCTGGATGGCGCTCATGAAGCACTTTTAAGAGAATCTATCCTAAAATTAGTTTTTACTCACAAAGTGTAAACGAATAATCCCAGTTTTTATTGTTTGTAGATCCTGCTGCTGACTGAATCAGTAACCATGGGCTGTACGTATATGAGAGGTTTTCTCAGTGGAACTGTGCCTGTCTGTCAACTGTTAACTGAATAAGAATGCAAGAAAAGAGTCACTTGTGAGGAGAGAGAGAGGGAGACTGAGGTTTCATCTGAATATAGAACAGAAATAATTTGATTGTTGTTTTTTGGAAGAAAACAAAAACCCGACACAAAAAAAAAATCTTTCCTGAGCTCCAGATGTCTTCTGTCAACAACAGCACAACTACGCAGCGTTTCCCCAGCCCCCATCTCTCTTTCTGTCCTACACATAT